TTACAATGGCTTTATTGTCTCTATTCTTCCAAAATTAATCCTACTTGTCTGACATTATAGTGTTCTGTGTCTACCTCTTCCGTTTGAATCTTCCCACGCCCCTCCCCATACAGCAACTAAATTCCCCGTCACAGTAGTAAATTAACACAGGACGTGTCCTTTGTGATTGAGTTATTTCATTCGAATATACAATGTTCTCTATACTCTCAATTCTTTTTCTATTTCCTAGTCCATTGATTTCAGCCTTTACTCTTATGATTCCCTTCCTCCTAGTGGCTATGGGTTAGATTGTTGTTCTTTTTCTATATGATGACAATGGTGATTTAGTTTGCTTACTACTTTTTTAAAATGTATTTGTTTGTTGTTATTGATCAATTGGCTGTTAGTTGACTACTGAAATGAACTTCACTTCCAGGCTTGAAAGATGTAAAAGAATAACATTTTTCATTATTCTAAAGGGTTCCATTAGTTTCTATTATACCAATAAACTTGAATGTGTTTATGACTGTGTGTTTTTTTTAATTTTGTTCCACATTTTTCATTCATTTACTTCAAAAACAACTATAGTGATCCATTTTATACTAACAAACAATTGTGACCATGAACCATCAAATTCTTCTAGAATTAAGACTCTTGAAGCAAAGGTTCAAATTCTCCATTCATTCTTGGAGATAATTGTTTTCTTCTGTCCTTGATTCTCCAGATGAGTAGAGACAATAAATGCATTTTACCACAAGATTTTTAGACCTCAATAGAGATTTAATGTAAAATTTTGTATTTTCAAAACTTAATGCAATATTTTCTTTTTGGAAAACTGTGGTAGTTGAGCTTTGTGTGCAGTGATAATATGATCCTGAGGCTCCTGGCAGCAGAGATTCCTTCTCTCAAGATGTTTAGTCATGGCTCAGATGCTGCCAATCCAAAGTTAAGTTGTTCAAACCCATCAGCTTCTCTGTGCGAGAAAGATGGGAAATCTCCTCCCCCGGGATTTTAGGCTCTGAAATATTGTTGGATATTCCACTATGAATCAAATCCAACTCAACAACACTGATATGTAGAGAAAGAGCAGAGTTTTTAAGTTTCGCTGAGTCGTAGATGACTCATAGCGACCCTATGAACGAAAGACTTGAACACTTGTATAACATTCATCATATCTCCAAGTTCATAGAGTTTCTGGAAGCAAAATTGTTTCAAAAGTGGATGCCATTCCTGCTTCCAAGCTTCCTATGTGTGTGTTTATATATAAATATATGCTTGGACAGAGATGGGAAAATCCTCTCCAATGAGATTTTTTTAAAGGGGTGTTCCCGATTATTTTGTTTATTTGCTTACAAAGTTCTTATACATTGTACTTCACACTATTCTTCATTCACATCGTATTTTATACAATTATTCTCACAGGGTATGCTTTATAAAATTAATCTCCATTGGATCTTGCCCCCTTGCCCATATGTAATTTATTGCCTCTAAAACACGCTGCAATATCAACTATGAGTTGGTTCCAATTGAATGCCATCTATTTGGGACCAAATCATAGCTGACCTTCCAGTGGGTTTTTAGAGGTAATAAATCACACAGGAGGAGATTGCTCATTTTTCTCCAAGCATGTGTTTATATATAAACACCCACATCAGGAGCTCTGAGGAGGAAGTGGCTTCTGGTTTGGAGGAAGATTCATCAACCACCTGCATTATTTGGAGGACATAACCCTGCTTGGCAAAACAGAATAGGATTGAGGCATTTGCTGCAGAAGGTCAAGAAGTACAGCCTTCAATATGGATTGAAGCTCAGCATCAAGAAAACAAAAATTTTCACCCCTTGACCAATTGGACAGCATCATGAAAGACAGTGAAGAGACTGAGATTCTTTTCTTTTTCTTGTTCTTTTTTAATTTATTATTAATTTCAATGAAAATTTACAGAGACTTTGGATTTGCATTCATTCATTGTTGCACTTTTCTCCCCTCCCAACCCTCCCGCCTAGTAAACTACCCTCTTGGATAAGTAAAAGAAAAGTTCTTTCATTGTTTTACAAACTCCCCCCCCCAGGTCCACTCCACTATGCAGCCTTCGCTCTGGACTCCTGTCATGACAAAAATACCTAATCACATATCCCTTTTAAACAGTTTTCTCCCTCATATGTTTCAATGCAATATACATTATTGAATCCATCTTTCTCAGTCTCCCCCCAACCCCCATATCAGTCCTGTTTTACAACAGTGGCACCACGCAGTGTTTATCCTTTTGTGACTGAGATACTTCATTCAGCATAATGTCCTCCAAGGCCACCCATTTGGAATAATATTTCATGAGTTTCTTGTTTTTCAATGCAGTGCAGTATTATTGAGAGTCTTAACAGCTTCATCTTGCTTGGCTCTACAATTAACACTCCTGGTGCCAGTAGCCAGGAAATCAAAAGGGTTGCACTGGGAAAATATGCTGTCAGGGACCTCTCTAGAGTACTGAAGAGCAACAATGTCAGTCTCAAGAATAAAGTGCCTTTGGTCCAGGCCATAGTCTTTTCAATTACTTGCTATGTATCAGAGAGCTGTACAATAACTATGATAGAAGAAGAATGGATGCCTTTGAGTTGTGATTCTGAAAAAGAGTATTGAATATACTATGGAGTTCAAACAAACTTTGTCTGGCATACTTCGGGCATGTTGCAAAGAAGGACCAGTCCTTGGAAAGGTGCTTGTGAGGGTGGAGGAACAGCGTAAGAGAGAAAGGCCCTGGATAAGTTGGACTGAGTGACTTGGGTGATTGAGGTAGGTGTATCAGAGACAATGAAATTGGCTCAAGTTAGAGCAGGGCTCAGAGCTGTTGGACATAGGGCTGCTATGAGTCACAAGCAACTTGGCAGCACATAACAGAAACAGCACACACACACACACACACACACACACACACACGTATGTGTAGTACTATTGTTCTTTTGAAGTGTATTCAACTGGAATGCCTTTCTCTGTTTAAACTCAAATTTCCTTGTTATTCATGTTATTAAAACATTTCACACATTTCTATCGAGCCTAGTAACTTAGATTGTACCGCTTGACTTTAGATGGCAGCACAATTCCCTACCAACTAATGAACATGGTTTCTTTTTGAAGGAAGTTGTTGTTGTTGTTGCTGCATGCTGTAGAGTCAGAACCCACCCATAACTAACCTTCCAGTAGTTTTCCTGAGGTAGTTAATCACATGGGAGGTGATTGTCCATCCTTCTCTGGCAGAGCAGCCGGCGTTTTTGAACCAAATAAATACCTTCAGGATTGTAGTGCAGCTTCTTGCCATGAGGCCAGCAGAGCTCCCTCTTGCAAGGTAGTATATGCTATTTTATATCTCTTTGTTGTGGTGGTCAAGTTGGAACCAGCACCTAGCTGAGGTTTTAGCACATTTTCAAAGGCTGGAAATCACACAAAAGAAGATTGCTCATTTTAACTTGTATTTCTTATTGTCTTCTTTTCCCTTGATCTTTTTGTGCTTACCGTCTTTTGTCCATTTCACCTTCCCCTTCACACATTTTTTATGCATTTCTGTCTGGAAAATGAGTAAGAATGAGAGATGAATTGATGCTTTTGAGTTGTTTTATGTGAAAGGAATACTGAAATTCCATGAACTGTAAAGAGAAAGGATGTAGGGAGATAGGAACTCTTAAACATTGTTGGTGGAATTGTAAAATGGGACAAAAACTCTACAAGCCAGTTTGGCACTTCCTCACAAAACTGAACATAGAAATTCCATATGACCCAGCAGTTTATGACAAGTGCATCAACCAATTTAATGATAAATCAATTTGTGTAGATGCCAAAAGATGAAGAGTAACAGAAATTACATAACAGTCTGAGAAATTCTGTGTGGATCTGAGAACAGAAATCAAAGTTTTCAAAATTACTTCCAAAAAAAAAGTCTTTGTAACTGTGATACTGCAGTTTCTGTTTTTAGTGATATGGTAAAGTTTCTATCTGTTGTTCTTAGAGTGCTATAAATCATAAGCAATTTTATTACACCTAACAAGAAAAACATTCAGGTGTTTAATAACACAATCCCGTGTCACTCATTGCAATGCTGCTCTGAGAAATAAGCATCTTTTTAGTGTATTGCCTGTACTCTTAAGGCACCGACACCAGAACTTACTGATATTTTCTTGGGATGCAAAGCAGATTTCACAGATGCCCAGGAACCTTCCAGACACTCATCTGGGACAATGCCATTCCTTCTGAGTTGATCATCACCTGTTGGACCTGAGAAAACTTGAATGAAGTCCTTAAACCTGCACAACATCATAATCCAAGTTGGAGTCCAAGCATTTCTAGGTGATCTTTGAACTATTTAGAGTTGAGGTCAAAAGCTTGTGATGTAGTGTGAAGAGCTTTGCTTACAGAGTGTTTGGGGACAATATAGGGAGTAAGACTTATATTTTTAGCTTTCTATAGCTCTGGTGGCCTAGTGGCAAGAAGCCATATTGCAATTCCAAAGGCACAGTGTTCAAGACCACCAGCTGCTCCATGGGAGAAGGATGGGCAATCTCTTGTTCCATTATTGCCTCTGGAAACCTGCATGTGGGTCAGCTATGGGTCACTTCCAACTCTGTGGTATACAACAACAGTAGAATCATTTAAGTGTCTTTGTTTTTCTCAGGCTAGACAATTATTGAGTTTTTAAATTGTCAGCTGTTTAAATATGCAAATCACATAAGGTCTATTAAGATACATATGCATAGATCTGTGTTCCACTCATCATTACCCTCCCCTCCAGAATCCACTGAGAACACAGATGCCTCATCATAGACTGGATTTGGAGAATATTCTTCTTAGGGGCAATGACTACAGATAAGACATTCTTCATTTCTAGGACAGAGGATATATATGAAGGTGGTTATTTAAGGTGTGTTTCAGTCACCCTGTTTCCTCTCTGTAGGTGTTCATGATGAGATCCAACTAGTACATTCTGGGGTTGAGATGAAGAAGCCTAAGACATCAGTGAAGGTGTCCTGCAAAGCTTCAACATACACTTTGACCAGCAAGTATATGTAGTGGGTGAGACAGACTCCTGGACAAAAATTTGAGTGGATGGGCTGAATTGACCCAGGAGATGATAATACACACTACTCACAGAAATTCCAGGACAGGGTCACCATGAGCAGTTACACCTCCACAGACACAGCCTACAAGGAGCTGAGAAACCTCAGATCTGAGGACACAGCCATTTATTACTGTGCAAAAGATACAGTGTGATAACTATGTCCTGAGTGTGATAAAAACCCCAAAGAAGGAGGCAGCTGTATCAGAAGTAGAAAGGCAGCAACAATTTGGGTAAAAATTTCCTTAAATATTTCAGAAAAAAGAACAGTTCTAATTTCCTTTGGGCATATTCCTAGTAATAAAGTGTAGGTCATACAGCGTTTCTATATTCAGATTTTTGAGGAAACATCAAACTGTCGTCCAGAGTGGTTGTACCATTTTACAATGCAACCAGCACTGTTCTCAACTCTCCACATCCTCTCCAATACCTATTCCTCACTATTGTGATGGGAAAGTCTGCTGTTAGGGACCTCTCCAAAGTGCTGAAGAGCAATGGTATCTCTTTGGAGACTAAGGTGGGTCTGATACAGACCATTGTTTTTGCAATCTGACTGCCTTAACCTTGTGAAAAGTCTTTCCATGGTTTGTGTTTTGTCTTGTTTCTCATTTTGTAATGCAGTTACTGTATTTTTCTTTTTAAGGCAGAGGAGTATAAGTATTGTATTATGACCTTAAATTTATTTTGTGTCATTTCAATGTGATTTGTGTCCTAACGTAGGATCAATTCTGGAAAATGTATCATGTGCACTTGAGAAGAATTGTCGTTTAGTAGAGCGCAGTATCCTGAATGGGGCTAACTTCTAGTCTTTGTTTAGATCCATTCCCAGTATCTCAATTTGTGTTGTGAATAGTAGTCTAGTTTTATTGCTTTCTTGGTTGTTGTTGTTGTTGTTATGTGCCCTTGAGTCACCTGGGCCTCATAACGACCCTATGTACAAAAGCCCTAAACTCTGCCATATGCTGTGCCATTCTCATCATCTCTGATACACCTACCCCCATTACCCCAGTCACTGAATCAATCCATTTCATTGAAGGTCTTCCTCTCCTGTGCTGTCCCTCCACCCTCTCAAACATGACGTCCCTCTCCAAGGACTGGTTCTTCCTTGCAACATTTTGAAAGTATGTCAGCCCAAGTTTCAGAATCCTTGCCTCCAAGGAGCAACCCGATCACCCTCTCCAGGACAAACCTGTTTGTTTTCCTAGCAGTCCATGGTGTATTCGATACTCCTCAGCAACACCACAGCTCAAAGGCATCAATTCTCCTTCTATCATCCATAGTGGTTGTCCAGCTCTCCGATGTATAGTAAGTGATTGCAAAGACTGTGGCGTGTATCAGGTATGCCTTAGTCTCCAGACTGACATCTTTGCACTTCAGCACTTTAGAGATGTCTCTAACCACAGACTTTCCCATCGCAATACATCTTTTAATTTCCAGGCTGCTGGTGCCAAGAGTTTTGACTGTGGATCAATGCAAACCAAAACTGTGAACAATCTCAATCTCAATCTCTTCACCATCCATTATGATGTTGCCAATCAGCCCAGTGGTACGAATCTTTTTTTCTTGATATTGAGTCTCAATCCATACTGAAGACTGCAGTCACTGACCTTCCACCACAAGGGCTTAAGGTCCTCCTAAGTTTCAGCAAACAAGGTTCTGTCATCTTCATAAGGCAGATTGTTGATGATTCTTCCTCCAAACTTGATGTCACATTTCTTCTCATAAAGCCCAGCCTCCCAGATAACCTGTTCTGCATAAAGATTAAAAAGGTATGGAGACGGGATACAGCCCCTGGTGTACACCCTTCCCAATTTTGAACCATGCAGTGTTTCCTTGCTCTGTTCTGATGACTGCTTTTTGATCCAAGTATAGGTTTTGCATTAGAAGATCAAGTGTTCTGGGATTCCATTCTTTTCAGAGTTAGCCACAGTTTGTTGTGATCCACACAGTCAAATTCACTTGCATAATCAATAAAACAAAGATAGACATTCTTCTGGTACTCTTTGCTTCCAGCCAAGATCCATTTAACACTAGCTACAATATCCTTAGTACCAAGGCCCCATTTAAACCCAGCATGCACTTCTGGTAGTTCTCTGTTGATGTGCTGTTCCAGTCAATTTTGGATAATCTTCAGCAAAATATTACTTGTATTAATGATATTGTTTGATAATTTCCACACTCTGTGGGATCACCTTTCTTTGGAATGGGTACAAATTTAGATCTCTTCCAGTCAGTAGTTAGTTCTCTTTGTTACTGTAGGGGAACCTCTCTGTCTTTTAGATATTGATTTTGTATCCGGCCACGTTAATAAACTGGTCCACTAGTTTCAACAGATGTTTGTGGTGTTGGTTTTGGGGTGGTTTTTTTTTTCCTGTTGAGACCTTGGGATTTTTTGTGTACACTATCATATTATCTTCATAAAGTGACAGTTTATCCATCTGTTTGTCAATCTGTATGCTTTAATTTTCTTCCCTTGTTGTATTGCCCTAGCAATTAATTCCAATACAATATTGAATAGAAGTGGTGACAGTGGACATCCTTGCCTGGTCACTGTTCCAAAGGAAAGTACTTTTAGTCTTTCTCATTGAGAAAGGTATTGGCTCTTGGTTTTGTATATATATACTTTTCACTATGTTTTGGAAGTCCATTCTTTTTTTTATCATGTGTGATGGAATGGTTAGTTCTTTAGCTTTGCATATTTTTTAAAATTTATTATTAATTTCAATGGAAATTTACAGAGATTTTTGTTTTCATCCATTCATTGTTGCACTTCTATCCCCTCCCAACCCTCCCCAATCTTCCCCCTAGTACACTACCCTCTTTTAAAGTAGGACTGACCTCGGGGTTGGGAGGAGACTGAGAAGGATAGGTTCAATAACATATACTTCATTGAAACAGATGAGGGAGAAAACTGCTTAAGAGGGAAAATTATTAGGGATTTTTGTCATGACAGGAGTCCAGAACAGAGGCTGTATAGTGGAGTGGACCTCGGTGGAGGGATTGTAAAACAAAGAAAGAATGTTTCTTTTACTTTTGCTGAGTTTCTTAGTCAGGAAGATGCGTTCTGTTTTTTCCAAAGGATTTTTGTGAACCAATTGCCAGAATCATGTTTTTAATGTGTTGATGTGATGAGCATAAATAAATATTGAATGACAGTGAAAAAGGATATAACCTGATGCACAGATTTACAAATTTTCAACAATCTCCGTATTATTTAACTTATTAGAGGCAGGCTAAAATAGCATTTAGGAATAACCATTACTCTACCCAAAGCAAGTAACTCCCTGTTACATTTTTTAGATTGTGATTTTTTTGTTTTTTTGGTGAAAGCTTACAGAATAGATTTTCATTCATTCACTGATCCAAATTTTCCTCAATTCTTATTCCACAATTTGTTTTGTAATGCACATTTTATTCTAGATTATTGTTATGCATAATTTGGCTAAAGAATAGATGATATACCAATTGAGGTATTTCACCTAACAGATACTGCCCTGGAAGTGCTCACCAAGTTGTGCCAAGAAATCTGGAAAACAACCACTTGGCCAACTGATCAGAAGAGATCTATATTTGTTCCCATTCCAAGAAAGGATGGCCCAACAAAGTGTGGAAACTATAGAACAATATCACTGATTTCACATGAAAGCAAGATTCTACTGAA